ACGGGATTTGTCTACACTCCGCCGTCTGGTGGTCGAGTTACCAGCTGCGCGCGCGCCGGCCCCGCCCTCAGCCTCTTCAGGCACCTGTTGGCTTGAGGGTTCACTCGGCCGCAGCGGCCATCCAATAAGCAGACTCCCTGATCCAGTCTGGCCCTGCCCAGCGCCCAGATCCACCAATCCCCGGGCGACCGCGTTCCCCTCCCTCGGAGGGCCGGTGGTTCACAGCAGGAGAGGCAAGACAGCCCCGTGCTAGACAAGGCGCTTCCATTATTTAGTCCTCCCAAACACCTTAAGACACTATTGTTATCCCCCTTATAGAGACAGAAAACAGCTCAGAGGGGCTCAGTAACTCGCCCAGGGTCACACAGGTAGGAAGGGGCAGTGCTGGGATTTCTGACTCCCGCCTAAGTTGGATCACCCATAGTCAGAATGTGCACCACATACCTCCACTTTTCTCTCCTCCGTTTGCAATATCTGAGAATAAATAGCAAGGAGGTAAAGCTGTCACCACAGACCAACCTTGGGCGAGCCCTGGCCCTCTGGAGACCTTAGTCATCACATCTTCGAAATGGGCACAAATTTGCCTCTCGGACTCACAGCAAACCGCTGGATCTTTTAAGCGCCCAGGGAGCTACGCGCATGCGCGAGGCTACGAGGGCGGGCACGGGGGGAGCGCGGGGGAGGTGCGCGCGCGCGCCTGAGCTTTCAAAAGTTACCTGGCGGGTGGGGCTGGAGTTGGGGGAGTTACCAGCTGCGCGCGCGCCGGCCCCGCCCTCAGCCTCTTCAGGCACCTGTTGGCTTGAGGGTTCACTCGGCCGCAGCGGCCATCCAATAAGCAGACTCCCTGATCCAGTCTGGCCCTGCCCAGCGCCCAGATCCACCAATCCCCGGGCGACCGCGTTCCCCTCCCTCGGAGGGCCCGCCCTTCTGGGCGCTTCTTCCGGGTGGGGCCCCGGGCCGAGGCGATGGCCCCCTGGGCGCTCCTCAGCCCTGGGGTCCTGGTGCGGACCGGGCACACCGTGCTGACCTGGGGGATCACGCTGGTGCTCTTCCTGCACGATACCGGTGAGCCGGACCCCGAGCGACCCCGGACCCACCCGATCCCGCGTGGTTCCCCGGACTTTCGGGTCTCACTGGGTCTCCCGCCTAATCCCTGGAGATCCTGGGATTGGCCCGATCTCTGCCAGCTCCTGAAGCCCCCTCCCCATCTATCATTCCAATAGCCACCCGCTCTCCGCCTGATACCCCGTTGATTCCTGATTAATCCCAGCATCTTCCTGATCATTGCCAAATGCCCTGTCCATCCCAGGACCCAGCCGGTGCCCACCAGATCCAAGGACCGACTTAAGCCCCATGTCCCTTGATCCTGGGACCCACCAGTTCCTTCCCAGGAACTGACCCCAAATCTTCCCATCCTTACGATTAGGAGGCTCAACTAGATGCAAGGATTGGCATTGTGTCCACACCCACACCCTCCACACCCCCAAGTCCAGGCAACCCCTCAGGCAAGAGAACACCCCACGGGGTGAAGCCTGTCTCCCATCTTCCCACAGATTCACCCACCTACCACCTCCATTTCCCTCATTCTCCTCAGTAGCCCCCTACCCAGCACCTCACCTGCCACGGGCAGCCTCCCTCACTGTCACCCACAGCAGCCCCCAGCCCTCCTTCCATGGTGGTCCAGCCTCAGTTTCTGGACTGGGGCCCCTGCTGGTTTTCCTCCCAAGACCTCAGACCTCCTCCACCACCTTCACCCTTTAGCCTAAAAACTTGCTCAGGTCTCCCTATCAGAAAACGACCCCCCTCAAAAGCCACCCTTTCTTCTCTGCTCCCCCTTACAAGGGACACGGGATTTGTCTACACTCCGCCGTCTGGTGGTCTCATGCCCCCTCATTCCTTGCCCTGCACCCTACCTCCCCAAAATCCTGTCACCTCCATGGGCTGAAGCCACTGGACCCTTTCTTATGCCCCTCTGCAGCATCTGAGCCTGCCAGCTGCACCCTCCCTCCCATATCTCTCTCAGGCACTTCAGACCTGGCCAGTCTCTCACCATTGCAGAGCCAGAGACGCTGGACCCCTCCTCCTTCTGTCCCACATCCAGTCAGGTCTGGCTGCCTTCACTCAGCAGCCCCCTCTGTCCATTCCTTCCTCTCTCACTTCCTGCCAGGCCTTTGCAGCTCCCCTCTTCTTCCTCCTGGCCAGATTCTCTGCCCCTAGGCTTCCCCTGATCCATTTCTCTAGCGATGAGGTTTTCCAAAACAGATCTGGCCTTATAACCTTCCATGGTTCCCTCTGACCCTCCAGATAAAGTTCAGATGAACTGCTGGCCACACACAACCACTCATGGAACCAACATCTCCAGGTCTTTGCTGGGCCAGGAACACATTTCCCCACCTCCAACTGCAACCCAGTCCCACCCACTCCTGTTCTACCCGGCCCAGCCTTACTGTGCTCTCCCGGCCTCTCCAGAGCTGCGGCAATGGGAGGAGCAGGGCGAGCTGCTCCTGCCCCTCACCTTCCTGCTCCTGGTGCTGGGCTCCCTGCTGCTCTACCTCGCTGTGTCACTCATGGACCCCGGCTACGTGAATGCGCAGCCCCAGCCTCAGGTAACCAGGGGCCCCTACTCTCACCAACAGGGACTCAACAGCCACCACCAGTCTCCATGCCAGGCTCTGTGCTGCAGGCTCTTGTGGGGGCAGCTCAGCGAATCCTCTTGCCAGCCCTAGAGCCCCATCCTACAGTAGTGAGGAAACTGCTGGGGCCCAGAGAAGGAAGAGACTTGCAAACATCACACAGCCACCCTCAGTCCAGGGTGCTCCGCCGCACCCCACACCTCCATTCTGCACGGGATGGGGCCTAAACTCCACAACCAGAGCTAAGCCGGCCCCTAGGGGAGCTGCCCGCCAATGCCACCTGTCTCCCAAGGGGATCCTGTCTTATACCCCACCCCTCATTCCAGGAGGAGCTCAAAGAGGAGCAGACAGCCATGGTTCCTCCAGCCATCCCTCTTCGGCGCTGCAGATACTGCCTGGTGCTGGTGAGTGATGCCGGGACACTCACCTGGGAGAGGTTGGGCCAAAGCTGAGACTCCTCGACCTCCTCCTGCCCCAGTGCCGGGGCCTCACCCCTCCTCCAAGAAGGCCTTCCATCATCAAGCCCTGATTCCTCCCCTCAGTGGTGGGCTCACAGCAGGGCTGGCACTGAGCCTCCACTCTCCTCCATGCCCACAGCAGCCCCTGAGGGCTCGGCACTGCCGTGAGTGCCGCCGTTGCGTCCGCCGCTACGACCACCACTGCCCCTGGATGGAGAACTGTGTAGGGGAGCGCAACCACCCACTCTTTGTGGTCTACCTGGCACTGCAGCTGGTGGTGCTTCTCTGGGGCCTGTACCTGGCATGGTGGGTGCTGCTGCCCGGGCATAGGGGGAGGGTGGGATGTATGCTCCCACAGGGCTGGACAGAGCCAGGACTCCCAGGGATCCAGCACAGGGAGGGAAGGGCTCCCCTGCCCTCCCCCAGCACCAGGCCCCTGTCCCCTGCCCTGCAGGTCAGGCCTCCAGTTCTTCCAGCCCTGGGGACTGTGGCTTCGATCCAGCGGGCTCCTGTTCGCCACCTTCCTGCTGCTGTCCCTCCTCTCGTTGGTGGCCAGCCTGCTCCTCGCCTCACACCTCTACCTGGTGGCCAGCAACACCACCACCTGGGAATTCATCTCCTCACACCGCATCGCCTATCTCCGCCAGCGCCCCGGCAACCCCTTCGACCGAGGCCTGACCCGCAACCTGGCCCACTTCTTCTGTGGATGGCCCTCGGGGTCCTGGGAGACCCTCTGGGCTGAGGAGGAGGAGGAGGGCAGCAGCCCAGCTGTTTAGGGTTGCTAGAGGCTGGGCTACTATCTTGTGCCTGAAAACCAGGGGACCTGTCCCCAGCTAGGGTCAGCCCTCGGAGGGCCTGGGGCCGCTCACTCCTGCCCACTCCTCCCAGGCCCCAGAACTGAACTTCAAGACAGACAGATCCCTGCCTCGGTGGGCAGTTCTGCCTTCCAAGGAACAAAGGGAAAAAAGGACTTGTGGGCAGCTCAGGCCCAAGCAGACCCCGAGCTCCACCCCAGCCCCACCCAGGCGACTGCCAGTGCACACTTTTACAAATTTAATAGTCTATAAAGCAAGTCTAGTCTTAAAAAGACAAACCACATCACTCCTTGCTGTGGCACCCTTTCTGGGCCAGGTCTCGCTGGGAGGTAGAGGAGAGAGAGCTGGAGGGGGAGGGGACACACTTTGCCCAGTGACACTGAGCAAAGCCCACAACAGTGGCCCCATGGCTGCCACCTCGAGTCCCAAGGGCTCATAAGTACCCGGCAAGGCCTGGACCTCCAGGCAGGGCACACAGGTAGGCAAGCAGAGGCTCTAGCAGTCTGTGGGGGAAGGGGACAGAGGTGCCAGGAGATGCCCTCAGGGCTCCAGGAATCGCTCTGACACAAAGTCGAAGTCCCGGAAGGCAGCCTGTTGGCGGGCAGTGAGGAGGCTGTGGGGTGCAGGTGGGGTCAGGGCAGGCGGCAGCCCTGTGAACTCGCCCTCAAAGTAGCGCAGGTCCGCGGGGCCACAGAGGGTGGGCACGAAGGGGGGCTGGATGGTGCGGGCGAGCAGGGCTTGCCAATTGGTGGTCTGGGGGAAAAGGAGAGGTGCCTGAGATGGCAGGAACAGCAGCTCCATGAGTCACTCTGTGTCACCTACCCTGCCAGGCACAGGGGACCACCGCCACCCCAGCCACTCACCCTGAAGAACGGCTGGACCTTGATCTCCTCGGCATCCTGCTCACCCGCCCCGAGGCGCTTCTCCGGGCACTTCTGGAGGAGCTGGGCAACAGGACAGGCGCTCACTTAGGGCATTCAGCCCCAGGCACTGCCATCATCCACAGGCCCCAAGCACGCTGGCCCAGAGCGCTCTACGGATGGGTGGCAGGGGGTCTGCTGTCCCATGGCAGAGGGCACATGGGCCTTGAGCGGCCATCCATCCCAGACCCAGACCCTGCAGTGCTTACCTTCTGAATGAGCTCAAGCCCTTGCACCGACAGAAAGCCGGGATAGGGAGCGTCCATGTTAACGATACAGTCAAACACCTCTTCCTCCGTGTCCCCTGGGAAAGGGCACTGTGGAGATGGGGGCTCAGCAGGATGCACGGGCCACCCCACTCCAACCCAGAGGCCCAGACAGCACACTCCAGCACTCACCTCACCCACCAGCATCTCATAGAGCAGCACGCCCAGCCCCCACCAGTCCACAGCCCGTGTGTACGCCTCCTGGGTCAGCACCTCGGGAGCCAGGAATTCCGGGGTGCCACAGAAGGTGCTAGTCCGGTCCCCGAAGCCGATCCCTACAAATCAACAGGTACGCCAAAAGCAGATTGGTGTGGCCTATTCATAATAACCTCAACAGCCAAGCCTTATGATGCCAGGGAGCTTAGCCTGTGCCAAGCCCTGCCCTGTACCCAAGGAGGTGGGAACGGTTATGACGCCATTTGACTGCATGCGGAGCCAAGCTCACAGGCTAAGGTCACAGAAGGCAGAACTCGGCCGGGCACGGTGGCTCACACCTGTAATCCCAGCACTTTGGGAGGCCGAGGCGGGCAGATCATGAGGTCAGGAGTTCGAGATCAGCCTGGCCAACATGGTAAAACCCCGTCTCTACTAAAGATACAAAAAATAAGCTGGGGCGTGGTGGCATGCGCCTATAGTTGCAGCTACTTGGGAAGCTGAGACGGGAGAATCTCTTGAACCCTGGAGGCAGAGGTGGCAGTGAGCCAAGATCGTGCCACTGCACTCCAGCCTGGGCAACA